CCTTTGTCTAGGATAAAAATCTCAAGACATTAGGAACATTTGTTTTGGTTTGTTTTTTGGTTTTTTTTTTTTTTTTTTTTTTTTTTTGTTTGTTTGTTCTGTTTTTTTTTCCTCCAAAGAAAAGGCTTCCTATAAGAAACAGAGACTAACCATGGTGGAAGGTGGCAACTACTAGGTACTTTTCCACACTGGATGCTTCATTTGTGATCTGTCACATGCCTCTAGGAAAATAAATTCTTATTTATACTCTTTTAGCAGGCTCTGTTAAAGTAACTCACCACTGGACCTGAACCCCTACATGCAACATTTCACGTAAAGAAACAGATACTTGGTGATACTGCAGTTTATATGGATGGCGCTCTGACATAACACAAGTTGTTACTGCAGGCTCAAGAAGATCTGGAAAACATTTGGCAGAGAAAAACAGATGGGAGGATGATCTGCAAGCAGTTCTGTGCTCGTGGCATTTTTTCAGTTTCTGTCCTGGTCTACTCCTCTGTCAGTTGTGAGCCTGCTGCAGTATCCTGGGATGCCAGGCTTCAAGCTAGCCCAGCTATCTTCATACTTGGCATAGGGTGAAAGTCAGACTTGGAATGATTTTTCATAGAATCACAGAATGGTTTGGGATGGAAGAGACCTTTAAAGATCATGTAGTCCAACCCCCTGCCGTGCACAGACAAGTCTTCCACTAGACCATGTTGCTCAAAGCACCGTCCAACGTGACCTTCAACACTTCCAGGGAAGGAGTATCCATTACTTCTCTGGGCAACCTGTTACAGTCTCACCACTCTCGGCGTAACAAAGGTCTTCCTTATGTCCAATCTAAACCTACCATCTTTCAGTTTAAAACTGTTGCCCCTTGTCCTGTCACTACAGGCCCTGGTAAAATGTCTTTCTTATAAGCCCCCATTATAAATTCTGGCTGATGGAACTGCCAAGCCACTCTCCATAGTATCTGAAAAGTCATGGCAGTCAGGTGAAGACCCCAGTAACTGGAAAAAGGGAAACATTGCACTCATTTTTAAAAAGGGAAGAAAGGAGGACCTTGGGAACTACTGACCTGTCGTCTCATCTCTGTGCCTGGGAAGATCATGGAACAAATCCTCCTAGAAACTATGCTCAGGCATGTGGAGGACAGGGAGGCAATTTGACAGAACAGCAAAGCTTCACCAAGGGCAAGTCTTGCCTGACCACTGTAGTGGCTTTCTATGATGGAGTGACTATATCAGTGAACAAGAGAAATGCTACAGATGTCATATAGCTGGACTTCTGTAAGGCTTTTGACATGGCTCCCTCCAACATCCTTCTCTAAATTGGAGAGATATGGATTTGATGGATGGACTGTTCAGTGGATAAGAAAGAGGTTGGATGGTCACATCCATAAAGTAGTGGCCAGTGGCTCACTGTCCAGATGGAGATCGGTGATGAGTGGTGTCCCTCAAGGGTCCAGATTGTTTAGTATCATTAATACCTTCATCAATGACATAGTGAGACCACGTGCACCCTCAGCAAGTTTGCAGACACCACTAAGCTGAGTGGTGCAGTTGACACACCTGAGGGATGGAATGCCCTCCAGAAGGACCTAGACAAGCTTGAGAAGTGTGCCTGGGTCAGGGCAACCCACGGTATCAATAGAGGCTGGGGAATGAAGGGACTGAGAGCAGCCCTGCGGAGAAGAATTTGGGGCTACTGGATGAAAAGCTGGATGTGAGCCAGCAGCATGTGTTTGCAGCCCATAAAGCCAACTGATCCTGGGCTGTGAAACAAGGAGCATGGCTAGCAGGTCGATGGAGGTGATTTTGACCCTTTGCTCTGGTGAGACCCCACATGGAGTACCGTGTTTAGCTCTGGGATCCTCAGTTCAGGAAAGACCTAGTCCTGTTGGAGGAGGTCCAGAGGAGGCCACAAAAACGATGAGAGGAAGGGAATGCCTCTGCTATGAGGAAAGGCTGATAGAATTGGGGCTGTTCAGCCTGGAGAAGAGAATGCTCCAGGGAGACCTTATTGCAGCCTTTCAGTACTTAAAGGGGCCTTATAAGAAAGATGGGGTCAGACTTTCTAGTAGGGCCTGTTGGGAGAGGACAAGGCATAATAGTTTTAAACTAAAAGAGAGTAGATTCACACTAGATATAAGGAAGAAATTCTCACAATGAGGGTGGTGAACCACTGGCACAGGTTCCCCAGAGAGGTGGTAGATGCCCCATCCCCAGAAACATTCGAGGTCAGGTTGAACAGGGCTCTGAGCAACCTGATCTAGTTGAAGATGTCCCTGTTCACTGAAGGAGGGGTTGGAGTAGATGACCTTTACTTCCAACCCAAACTTTTCTATGATTCCATGAAATCCAGAGCACTAGGAAGTGGGGACACTTCATGGAAATAACGGCAGATGAGATTAAAAAAGACAAAAATAAGCACCGTTTTTGGTTTTGTGGTGTTTTGTTTGTCTTTTTTTTGTTTGTTTGTTTTGTTTTTTTTTTCTTTTTATGCTGCAGGCAATGGACTTTTGAAATTGGTTGCCACAGGAAGTTGCAGAGGTGGACAGTACCAGCAGATTCAAAACAATAGTAAGTGAACCCTTGGACTGCATTTGCTGGTCATGTTCTTTCCTGTATCAATGCTGTAACTATGGATATCTCTCCTGGAGAGAAATATGCCACTGAAGATGCTGGTGCAGATTCTTCAGAATCTGCTGTTGCATCTCAGACTCCTCCAGTACACAACAGATACATGAAATCTGAGGTGACTGCAGCAAACTAGCTGCCATGCCTACCCTTCACCTGTTGTTTGCAAATGCCTTCACGAGGTGGTATAAGTCTTCTGGCAGCAAAATCCTGAAACAGATGATCCCCGAGACATTTTTATTACCTGTGTTACAGGACTGGCTCTAAAGCGAGTCTCTTTTGCAAGAGGTCCAATCTGCCACTGAAAGTCATATGTAGCTCTATTCTCAGTAATGGAAAAAGTGTAATGCCAAGAGACACCACCATACTTCACAGTCTGTCTGTACTTGCACCACAGCCCATTAATATCCTGGCTTATTATGAATTGAGCCCAAAACTTTCCATTAGCTCCAAGCATTTCAGACCTCAAGAACCTGAATCCTGTATACCCAGAAAAGGAAGACCAAAGAGTAGGAGAAACATCAAACTGCAGAAAATAGGCTATGACTGTTTTCTCCATATCATGGAAAATTAACTATCTCCCATCTTATGCTGAAGACAGGTCAAGTATGAGCTAGACTTGGACTTATTAACCAGATTTAATCTTAGGCTCGAAAAGGTAGAAGTACAGGCAAGGAGGAAAAAAACCAAACCAATCAGTGTACTCATGCCTACATAATGATCCACATTTGCTTTGTGGGCTTGCTTAGGTCCAGAAGCAAGACAAACACATCTACTTGATACACAGTTCAAAGCCCTGGTAGATTCCAGGAAGAATCCGTTTTCTTCTCCGTCAGATCCTGATCCCAGTTACTAACACGTCCAGGATGGGAACAGCCCCAGCATTCAAACATCTCTACATTAGTTTTCCCCTTGGCTATCTAGTACATTTATTAGCCAGATATCCTCTTTATTTGCTCCCCTTCCTTCCAAAATATCCCAGATAAACAAAACCTGGCTTCCATATTTTCACACACTGCGGGGGGAGCGAGGGGGTTAGGGAGAAGAAAGTAGTCAGCTATGCAAGCTGCTGTTAAAGTTGAGTACTTAAATTCAAAATGGGACTATGTTTATCTTTTCCAGAGAAAAGATGTTCTAGAAAAATTCTTCAGAAATCCGTCCCATCTCCTGAGTGCATGGAGAGGTCTGGAAGACAAGCAATTTGTGGGATAAATTATGTTAATAGGAATGTAGTGTTTCTGTGAAGTACTGGAGCACTTCCTCTAGAAAGCAGAAACTGTATGGTTCAGGATCCTTCAGTCTAACACTCAGGTACCATGCTTCTGTGCAAATAAACAACAGGCAGAAGGCCTTTAAGCATTAGAAAGAGGACAACCACCAAAATACAAATATCTACTGTGTATAAGATTGTTGCAGCATCAGACATTACAAATCTAAGCTAAACCAGCATTCGAATAACTTGCCTTTATTATTTTACAACTTCATGTTTGGAACTTAAATAAAGCAACTGAAAGTCTTTATGAAAGGGATGAAATAGCATACACTAAGTATTACCAAGATTTCTTAAGAATGGTTTGACTCAGGTGTTAAAAATTTTTAAAAAAATCAGAGGTTGCAACTTGTTCCGTAAAGACAATTAGGGACAGGGAAGGGGGCAGCAAGAAGAGAAAAGTGAGAAAGGGCATAAGAAATTGTTTTACATTAAAGCCATTGGAAGTTACAAAATCAAAGGTGATTTACCACAGGACCAAGAGGCACCAGAAGGTATACAAAAGAGATGCTACATATCACTACAGTAGTTAAAAAAACATTTCTTGAACACTTACAAGGAGGGAAAAAAAAACACAAACCAAAACCAGCCAAAAAAAAAGAAAAAAAAACAACTTTCATAAGAGTCCTAAAACCAGAGAGCATCTGCTGTCATATACATCCAAAGGCTTCCTTTTACATTAAAAATAATTTTTGATACTATCTCCTGTATAACACTAAATATTTCAATATTAGATCTCCTGATAAAGTTCACAGAACATCTTTAGATTTGGAAAAGAAACACTCTGTCTAGGGAAATAGGACTGCAGTTTTGACAGCCTCTATTCAGATACAGTCTTGGTGGACCAAAGAAATGTTAATATGGACACAGCAACTGGCAGCTACCTAAGGAATGGTGATTGTGATCTGATAATTACTCTGTGAAAACACTTTACCACTAAGCCAGTGTTATTTGTACTTGAAACTGTAAAAGGGTCAGTTTCCCCTAATGTAATAATTGCAAGTGACTAGAAAAAAATAAACATTTAAAATGAGAAGTACAAGCTGTTCCCGTTAAAGGTTCATAAAGGATAAGGTGCAGTAGAAAAAATATACATATGTACACTGTTATATATATATATAAATGTTTTATTAATTATACTAAAATAGCAAAAAGCAGTTACTACTCAGCACAACAGAAACATACTTACACACATGCCATCAACCCCACTAGATATGGTAGTGCATGGTGGAGCACAGTGTGGACTTTGAGACGGCCAGGTAACAATCCTTAGCAGTCGTCTCTGCGACGACAGCGTTGGCCGGAATTGGTTGCTGCACTGTGTCACAGCTCCGGGTTAATCACATACCCTTTGCATCCCGTCACGTAGGGTCAGTACGTGCCAGGAGGTGGGCAAAGCACGCCCTGAATGATGGAATGGAAAAGCACCACCTGTGCTTGCGCTGGAACAGAAAAGGTGGTCGTCTTGGACCCCTGAAGTTCGTGACTTCATCCTACCTCCTCTTCATCACCTACCTAACAATGTCCTTTGTGGTCTTAGCGGCATACAGCCCAGTTTCATAGCATGAGTAGAGGTCCGTTTTGCTGCTTGCTTCCTCTAATCTTTAACTTTCTCATGCTTTAACCTTCAGTTGTTACATTACACATAGCTAAACAAGAATAGGGTCCTCAGTGTGCGTGACCGCTACACAAGCACAAACAATAGAGACTTATTCCATCGGATACAGTCTACAGATCAAAAAATAGGGTTTTTTTCACTAACACAAGCAGTTTTTCCCATCACTAACACACAAGCTAGGAATTATCATTTAATGGCATCCCAAATTAATATCCAAAAAAGAAAGCCACAATATAAAGGTGAAAAAAAATATTAAGCATTAATAGTTACAATAAAAACACACATAACAAACTCAAGGAATCAATAAAATATAAATTGACAGTAGCATTAAGGACAGCAAGATTTCAGACCTGTATAAATGCATACTCATGAACAGCTCCACCATTGGATACTGCTGATAAAAATAAAAGTAGCAATATAAAAATGCAGAAATATTCCGCAGATCCTTTTGATCTGTACCTGGAACAAAACAATGACTGCATTTAATCTCACATAATAGTAAGGAAGGAACAAAAATGTTGATGTATTTAATCAAAGAAGCTCTACAGCAGCACTTTCTACAATTAAACATTTTTTAATCAAATGTCCAACATTTCACACAGTTGTGCTGAACTAGTCAAAAAGCAACTTGCTTTTCATCTGTAGCACAGTAATGCACCAGTAAATTTGGGACTCAACAGCTCAGTCAACAGCTTTAGTGACTAGTAGCATCAATGCTAGTCACACACAACTTCAGAAAAGGGAGTCAAGCTAACAAACTCCTTGTCCCAAGTACATTACAAAGGTACCTTCATCAATACAGTGCATCTGAAATGATCCAAAAGAAATTCACTTAGTACAACATGGCACCTTAATTAAAAAACAAAACAAAACAAAACCAGCATTGTAAGAAGCTATTAGGGGGACAGTTTAAATGGATTAAAAACTCATACAGAAACAAATCTCAAAATGCATCAAAATAGGAAAGCATGAAAAAGCATGTCAGAACCTTGCATTGTACCTCAAAACCAAGCCCCCATACACCATCATATAATCATTTTATCGATTATCTGGATAAGTAAATGACTTCATCCATATAATTTATAAAGGACATGGAACTCAGTGCTTCAATGCCCAGTAAGTATACTGGCAATTAAGTCTTTGAGTCGCCCTTAGGCATTTTGTTACAAGGCTCAATATAAAGAGCTCTTGGCAGAAATTCTGTAGCCTTGGTGTACCAGCACTCAAATTAACTTCTCTGGCCTTTTATTATGGATTCAAGAAATCCATAGCTCTAATAGCCACTATCAAGTTTCATCAAAACTACTGATCTCATGCCCCAGGCAATCTAAAAGCACAAAACAGAAGACCTTTCACAGGCACTGATCTACTCCGCAACTTTCTGCAACTTCCCCTAGAACTTCTGTTGCAGGTTTGTCAGCCCAGTTCAAACTGAACCAACAGGATATGCCGCTTTCCTCTTCAGAATGGCTTCTAACCATGCCCTCTACCAGATGCTTAAAATACAAATCATGATACAAAACTGAAAACTTGTTCCTCAGCTTGGATCCAGGAAAGCAAGGATAGGAGAGTTAATATTTCCCTGCTTACCACAGATCTTTTTCATATTCTTTTTCCTTTCTTTTTTCCTTAAGGGACTGGGGGAACAGAGCAAAAATTAAGAATCTGAGGCCTACTACCAGCAAAACCAGTCATATCCTAACTGGAACTAGCAATCCCCCTTCCACCTAGCCCTTTGATAAACTCACCTGAACCACATATCCAAATAAACACGAGGGACCAGTGAACTGCAGGACTAGAATCAAGTTGGAGTACTACAACTTGAGAAGTTCTTCCTAAAATGCCTCAGCACCTGTATGCTGCATGAATAACATGATCCCAGGTATCACAATATAATGTGCATTAAATCTTTCCTTCCCCCACACTCCTTAAAATATGTCATGGCTCTGTGTCTTTTTATAGGGCTGACCCAAACAGCATGCCTAGCAGCTACTTCCAGCTCAGCAAACCATACCCCCAGGTAACTCAGGTCAACTCTTTGTCTTCACCCCTGAACACACAGTGGACACGCTCCTCTGCATTGTAATACACCTGCCCACAGCGCAGACGTGGCTCCTCCTGCTGGTACCAGCGCTGCTCATTGAACTCTGGGAAAAAAAAGGCAATTTCTCTGCTGGCTGATGCTGGTGAATCTGTTAGAAAACAGAGGAAAAGAAGGTGAGAGATGCCAGTCTGGCACCACAAATATGCCCCATGTTCCAAAGGGAACTTTACAGGATAAGTGTGAGCGGAGTCTGCAGAAGTGAGCAAATCATTAACTTTGATTCCCAGAAAGCAAGCAAAGGCAGACAAAACCGTCATTCACAGCTGCATAAGTATTTGCCCAACACTCTGCCAAGGAAGACAGGTCTACCTGAGCCATGAGTGGTGTTCCTGGTGTCAGTGAGGCCATAAGCTCCTCGGATGGAGTCCGGGACGCTGTTCCGGGCTCGGAATACTTTGGTGGGCCCCATCAGGGATCTCCAGAGAGGGATAGCATTCTCATGGGCCAAGATATAAGCCCACATGGGGCCGCTGAGGAAAGGACCAGGGAAGAACAGAAGTAGATAAGGTTAAAAAAGGGCATAGCTCCTTCATTCTTCAAAATACAGCAAGTGCAAAGCAGCAGGATAGTGCAACTGCCATGCAGTGATTTCAGGGAGGGGATACAGACCTACCATGACATTAGACACTGAGACCATGGCTCAAAAGCAAAGTGTTTGCATGCATGACCTCTTCATAGGTGATGCTACCCACAACCTTTGGGGATGCCACCCCACCAAGTACTACTGTTGTCACAGCAGAGTTGGTTCTTGACATTTCTGCACTCCCGAGCCCAGAGCCTTCCACCCCTCGGTACACCACAAGCACCAGCTCCTGATGAGATGCATCCCACGCCAAGGTGGACCCCTCCAGATACAGAAGCATTGCTCAGGCAAGACAAAGGTCCACCTGCAAAGCGAAATAAGCTTCCTCCTTGCTCCCCGCAGAGCCCAGCTGTGGGCACGGCAGGTACCTGGACATGAACTCCACCAGCCGCTGGTAGAAGAACCGCCCTGCGGGAGAGAGACGTCCCGAGTCCCGGAGCCCAGCTCCGCCGGCATCGGCCCTGTCCGGCGGCCGAGCCCGGCGCCCCGCAGCGCCTGTTCGCGCGTTCGCGGCGGCGGCCTCGCCCGCCCGGCAGCCCCGGCCCGCCTACCCGCGTGCTCCCGGTAGAAGCGGCGGCTCTCCTCCCGTCCGCAGCGCAGCTTCTTGGCGCGCACGATGAGGAACCGGTTGCTGAGGATGGTTTCGTGCACGGCCTGCGGGCAGAGGCGCGGCGGCTTGGGGCTGCGCGCACCGCCAGGACGCCCCGGGCCAGGCCGACAGCCCGAGCCGGGCAGCGGAGCGGCCTGGGCCGCCCGGCCCTCACCTCGAGCACCAACGGGTGGGCCACGGCATCCGGCTTCAGCAGCGCCAGCGTCAGCTGCAGAGGCCGCCCGCAACGCCCCACGGCCGCCATGCCTCCCGCCCACCGGGCGGCGTCGCGCCGATGACGGCGACTGGGGCGGGGCGCCGCGCACATGACGCACGGGCAAGGGGAGAAGGGCGGGGCAGGGCGCTCGGTGACGCACAGAGGGGCCGGAGGGCGGGGCCCGAGGCGAGGCGGGGCCTGAGGCGGGGCGGGCTCTGAGGCGAGGCCGGGAGGCGGGGCCTGGGGCTGGCGGGGGGATGAGCCTGAGGGAGGCGGGGCCTGGGACAGGGCCTGAGGAGATATGGTGGGCGGGGCCTGAGGGAGGTGGAGCCTGAGGGGAGACCGGCCCTGATGGAGGGGGGTCCCGAGGGAGGGCTGGGTCTGGGGAATGCAGGGCCTGAGGGCAGGGTAAGGACGGGGCCTTTAGGGGGCGGGAGGCGTGGCCTAACGGGGCGGGGGCTGGTGAGTGGGTGGGTCCTGATGGGGCGGGGGGCGGGGTCTGGTGGGGCGGGGCCTGAGGCGGGGCCCGCCGTGTCGCGTAGCAGCGGGGACGCGGAGGCGGTGCCATGGCGGATGCGGCGGCGGAGGAGCAGGCCCGGGACTGGGATGAGGCCGCGGCCGGCGCTGAGGAGACCGTGAAGATCATCTGCCTGGGCGACAGCGCCGTGGGCAAGTCCAAGTGCGTGGCCGCGCGGGCACGGCGCCGCTCGGCCGGGCCCCCGCAGGGAGCGGAGCGGGGGGGAGCGGAGGGGTGGCTCTGTCCCGCGGCCTAACGGCTGTGCGGTGCTCTTTCCTCAGGCTACTGGAGAGGTTCCTGCTCGACGGCTTGTATCCTTGTGCGCGCCGCGCGCGCCCGCCCGGTTACAGCCCGTAGGGCCGGGCCTGCGCTCTCAGCAGCCCCGCGCCGCTGCGCAGGCGAGGGCCCGGCCCGGCGGAGCGCCGCGGGAGGCGCGGCCCGGGGAGCGGCGGCGGGCCCGGCCGGGGGAGCGGGTGCTGGCCCGGCGCCGGCGGTCGCCGCGGAGTGGGGAGACGTGCTCCTCCGTCGGTTCCTTAACACGGGCGCAGCCGCCCCCAGCAGCTCTCCACCTTCGCCCTGACGCTCTACAAGCACCGTGCTCAGGTGGATGGGCAGGCGGTCCTCGTGGGTAAGTGGGGAACTGCGAAGTGCTGCACGGGGCCCGTGGGCCCCGGGGACAGGTTGACGGTGGATGTGTGCAGAGAGGGAAAGAGCAGCGGTGCTGTTCGCATGCGCAGCAGTATATGGACCCATAAACATGGCAGGGGACTTCCCTGTGGTGCGCAAGGGGATGCCAAACAGTGGCTTGTAGTCCAGGAAATAGCGGAATGAAGGGGTCACTGAATCACCGAATGGTTGAGATTGGAAGGGACCTCTGGAGGTCATCCTGTCCAACCCTCTGTTCAAGCAGGGCCACCCAGAGCTGGTTGCCCAGGACAATGTCTAGATGGCTTTTCAATATGTCCAAGGAGGGAAACTCCAAAACCTCCCTGGGCAACCTGTGCCCATGCTCAGTCACTCTCACAGTAGAAAAAGTGTTTCCTGATGTTGAGAGGGAACCTCCTATGTTTCAGTTTGTGCCCATTGCCTCTCGTCTTGTCACTGGGCACCACTGGGAAGAGCCTGGCTCCATCTTCTTTACACTCTTCCTTCAGGTATTTTGTACTCATTGATGAGATACCCATTGAGCCTTCTCCTCCCTAGGCTGAAGAGTCCCAGCCCTCTCCGCCTTTCCTCACAGGAGAGATGCTCATGTCCCTTCACCATCTTTGTGGCTCTTTGTTGGACTTTCACCAGTATGTCCATGTCTCTCCTGTACTCAGGAGCCCAGAACTGGACACAGTACTCCAGGTGTGGCCTGACCAGTGCTGAGTAGAGGTGAAGGAATACCTTGCCTAATGCAGCCCAGAGTACCATTCGCCTTCTCTGTGGTAAGGGCACATTGCTGGACCCCCAGGGCCTTTTCTGCAAAACTGCTTTCCAGTTGGCTGGTCCCCAGCATAAACTGGTGTTATGGGGTCATTTCTCTCCAGGTGAAGGACTTTGCACTTCTTGTTGAACTTAATGAGGTTCCTGTCTGTCCATTTCTCCAGTGAGACCAGGTTCCTCTCTGAACGGCAGCACAATCCTCTGATGTATCAGCAACTTCTCCCAGTTTTGTGTTATCTTCAAGCTTGCTGAGGGTGTAGTCTGACCCATAATCCAGATTATTAATGAAGCTGAGCAGGATTGAACCCAGTATTGTCCCCTGGGGTACACTGCTAAGTTACTCCAACTAGACTTCATGCTGCTGATCACCACCCTCTTGGCTGGCCATTCAGCCGGTTTTCAATCCACCTCACTATCCACTATCTGCTTATCCAGCCCACACATCAACAGCTTCTCTATGAAGGTCTAATGGGAGACAGTGCCAGAAGTTTTACTGAAGTCTAGGTAGACAATAGCTACTACTGTCCCCTCATCTACCAGACCAGATCATTGTTCAGTTATTAGGTTCTTCAGCTCTGCCAGTAATCTTTTCATTTGACTTCCAGGCAAGGGAATATTGAAGTCAAATATTATCTTTTTTTTTTTTTTTTTTTCCAATGAATTGACTACCTGTCAAAATCATTGCTGCAAGAATCCTGATTTAGCTGTGTCAGTCACAGTTAGTCAAAATGCTTGTTGCTCAGGATGCAGGATAATGATGGAACTAAGCTAACCACACTGCCCATGAAATTTGCAGTTCTTTTCCCCTACGTACCACCAGTGTTCACTTACAGGCCTAGTCCTGTCCATTGTCAAGCCAGTTCAGGAAGGTAACTATGCATATTAAGCACTCACAAAATAAGTGAATGGGTTTCTACTCCTTTGGCTTCCTAAAACACTGCACTATGGAGGCTTATACACACCAGTGCTAGTGAAAGGGGCAGGTGGGTATGCACAGGCAAAGGAAGGAGAAGGGGCTTTCTCTTTCCTGAGAGCTATGTATTATATCAGTTTAGCTGCAGTATGAAACTGTCTTCAGACTCCTTTACTCTGTCAGTATAGTAAGTAAGTGAGAGGAAATATGTCATATGCTAATTACAAAATAGTCTACAGTGGCATTTAGCTGCCTATCAGCACCAATTCTAAAAACCCATGCTATAGATTATTTTAGTAGATCTATTTTAGTTGATGGTTTTTAACACATTTTAACACAATCTTCCTATTATTGGTCATCCTTTTATTGGCTGTTTTTGATTGGTTAATTACTTTGGGTATGTGTACCAATTGCTATATTTCAGGTTTATAAAATATTTAAATTCTTTCTCTGGATATGTCCAGCCTGTATGATCTTATCATAAAATACCACCTGTTTTATCCCAACCTTTGTTAGTTTTTTTGATAGACTACAAGCATTCTAGCTTTATCAGTCATCTCTTTATCAGTCAATATCCCGTAACTGGTTTTACCACAGATGCTAACTTTCCATTTTTTTTATACCAATGGATCATTGCTTTAACCTATGTAAATTAGCCTCTGGCAGCACATTATTGTGCACTGTGTGTTACAGATGGAAGTTCAAGAAAAGCATTAACTTACTCTGTGATCTGAGTTGATATTCTGTACTGCTGCCTGTATCACTATAATTTCTGTGTTTTCATAGTACTGCGGCTCTGGAATGGACTGTGGGATGTCATCTTGCATATCTTTGCACAGGAGAAACTACTTACTGATACTCTTCACTGATACATATATATGTCTATATCTATCTATCTATCTATCTATCTATCTATCTATCTATCTATCTATCTATCTATCTATCTATCTATCTATCTCTATATAAAATGTATTTGAAGACTTCCTTAGGCCATATATTCCATCACATCAGGGTTCTTGTTACTTAATGGAAATCTTTATTCAGGGCAAACCAGTTATTTCCTGTGTTTCCTGGACATTGAACAAGTTTTTTCCCCTTCTTGTTTGCACCAGCTTTCTACACGTTTGAACACTGTACCCTTTCCCTTTATCGGTGAATGAAAACCTGGACATAAGCCAGCAATCATAGAATCACAGAATTGTTTGGGTTGGAAGGGACCTTAAATACCATATAGTTCCAGCCCCCCTGCCATGGGCAGGGACACCTTCCACTGGACCAGGTTGCTCAAAGCCCTGTCCAATGTGGTCTTGAACCTTTCCAGGGATGAGGCATCCATCACTTCTCTGGGCAACTTGTTCCAGTACCTCACCACCTCACAATAAAGAATTTCTTCCTAATATCTAATCTAAATCTACCCTCTTTTGGTAGATTTAGTTCAGTAAACTCAAATAAAAGATAAGGTGGTATGGGGTTTTTTAACCAGTAAGTGAAATTACTACTAAGACAACTTGCAAACATATGTATTCATATGTCAGGGACTTATTTTTAACATGCATGTAGTAGCTTATTAAGTAACTTGCTGTAGTCTAAGTAATTCATCTGGCCTATGTTATACAAGAGTTCACAGTGTCTTCTGTCTTCACCTTTTATGAACATAATGCTAATCATACAAGCTACATTGCAGAGAAGACCTGTCATGAAGTGTGATTTTTAAAGGCAGGTAGTTTGATCTGAAGCCCTTATATGGTGCAGAATTACCACTTCCCTTGCTAGTTTAATTTTTTCTTTGCTGAGCTATTCTTAGTGGCCGTTGCCAAATTCTGTGTGGTAAAGTTAGGATTGCATTAAAATGTGATGTATTTCTTTACCCTATGAGTCTTATTTTTCCCAAGGATTTTAAGGCTGGTAAATTCCTACATTCTGGAGTGACATGGGGTATGACAGGCAAGTTCTGGAAAATTTAGTAATAAAAGCAGCAGTGTTTTTCAATAAGCCATGGCAAGTTCTCTCATGACAGCTGCCACATTGTTTGGGAAGTTAATTTATGGACATTCAGTAGGTCACGGTCACTGGCACCTCTTCTTTCCTTGTAAGTGAGGATTCTGAAATGGCACATTAAAAGGATCAGGCAATTTTAGAAGCTAAGCAAAACTACTCAAAATGAATGTGAATGTGGTCTGATGAGTACTTGTCTATATTTTGCGCAGTTTAAGAAAGTCACCATCCTGCAAGTCTGATACAGTATCCAGTCAGAAACTAATTTCAATGCAAAGTAAACACTAAGAAAAGTGGGTTATTAGGCTTTTGGTGGAGTGGCATGCTTTCGTCTATCTGACAGAAGTGTGATTACATCTGGTGGTTCTTAGCTGAAGCTGTGTAAACACATACAACGAATAAGATACAAATATTAGCCTATAAATCCAGTAAGAGGAGCAGGGGAGATCTCTACCTGATATACACAAACAGAAAAAGGCATTAAAATACTGATGACTGTTCAGGTATGCACCTTGTCTACAGGGTACTTAATGAATTGGGACCTGTCTGTCTCAGAATAATTTACTTAACCTTCATCATTTTAGAATGAGTCATGCCCCTGGAAGGAGCAGAGTTAGACTGTCTGTGAAAGGAGATGGAACATTTCCTATGGCAGACACCTGACTATCTATCAGTGTGTCAGAAATCAAGCTGTTTCAAGATGTTTAATTTTGTTTCCTGTTGTCATTTCTAGTGACAAAGTACCATATATCGTCATCAGTCTTTGCACTTTTGACTACCTTTGTCTTACTGTCCTTTATGTCTACTGATGACTTCTCTTTTGCTAATATATTTATAGCAATTTTCAGTATCTGCACAACTAAGCCTAGCTAAGAAAAGGTCCTAGTTTTGCAAAATCTCTTAGCCCTGGAATGTTTCAGATTAATGAAATTAGACCTAATTTGTGACCCCGAGTAATTGGACTGGGCTTTGTGTCCTGGGTTTAAGTTGTGAGGAAAACAGAACTTGGAAAATTGTGTCAGAATTCTAAGTGTGGCTTTTGTGTCTTACAGACTTCTGGGACACAGCTGGACAGGAGAGGTTCCAGAGCATGCATGCATCCTATTACCACAAGGCTCATGCTTGTATCATGGTAAGGGTAGTGTCTTAGCTGTGATCTGATGGAATTTTGACTAATAGTCCCATTTAACACTTGGCCTGTATGTCACTTTTTATGATTATGCTGCCCTATATTTGTCTCTTCCAGTGGTTTAACTTTCTTATATTGTTCTTTCTTCTCTTGCCAGATAAAACCAGTGTAGTTGGGTATGTTTAGCTCTCTTCTGTCTTTCTTGATAGCACTCTTACTATATTCCCTGGCTTTGCTGTCTTCTAAATTTCTTTACTTTTGTCACTGTGTTTCCAGTAAGGTGGTATGTACAGCTGAATGTACTTATTTAGAAGCACTCCTGTCAGAGGTGATGTGAGGAAGAGGGCATTCCTTTCTTGTTCTGTGATGTGACTATTGGATTATGTAGTACAAAACTGTTCTGACATATTCTGCAGGGGTACCATAAAGACATTCTTCCCTGGTCGTCTGCCCTTTATATTTTCCTGTACTTTGTGCTTCCCAGTTACTAGCTCAAATCAGCCTTGCTTCCTGACTCCTAACCTGCTTAGGTCTCTTCATTTGTACTGTTGCTCTAACTTGCCACTGTTTCTCAACACTTGTGAGCATCAGTCAACTTCACTGATATTTCAATTGTTAAAATAGAGAAGCCTCACATCCAACCCTACTTAGCAGAACAGATCTTTCCCAGTGCTTATTTGCTGTCATGGGTGATAGAGTGCTTGTTGTAGAGAGACTGTTTCCTGCATCATACAAAGAAATGGGCTGGCTGCATGTTTCAAGGCTTGCTGGATATTCTCCCTTTTCTCTTTCATCCTAACAAAGGCCAGATTCCTTTGCTGATGTTCTCCTGGGAAAATTTTGGATTCTGTACCTGTGTTTGGTGCAGTGGGTTGATCAGGAGCTGTCCTGCTGTTTGTCCCATGATAGCTGGTTCTTTTTTGGAAGGTGTTTGATGTGCAGCGGAAAGTCACCTACAAGAACTTGAACAGCTGGTACAAGGAGCTGAGAGAATTCCGCCCAGAGATTCCTTGCATTGTGGTGGCCAACAAAATTGATGGTGAGTGTTATCTTCATCTTGCAACCTCTCAGGATTGTGATGTGATTCTCTTCTGACATGGCTGAGGAAGAATGTAATTCATCTGCTAGGTCCAGACAAGTTCTTGAGTATTAGTCCCTCAGGGCTATATTTTACGTAACAAATAGCTGGGTCCTCTACTGACCTTGCATGCTGTCTTATAGGCTCTTGCCCTTTTTTTAACTAGCAATTAAAAATACAAATTTGATCAATTGAAAGTTTATTCAAGTGATGTCCTTCCAATTCTGTTCTTACCATGCTGCCCATTTCATCCAGCAAGAGCCCAAAAGCTGCATGAAGCAGTACCTAGTCAAAAATTGCAGTATGTCTTGCTGGAAAAGGAGCATAACTTATTATGTGGCTTCCCCTGATACAGTCAGTAACTGCCTTTGTATTGCTAATTCAGTCTGCAGGTTTCCATGGGACTCCTCTGTGCTAAAGGGTCTAAATATACCTGCTGGCAAAGTTGTTCACCTTCCTCTGCAGATGACTGGATGATTCCTTCCTCTTAGGAATGTCAGCTAGGCACTCATTATTGATGTCATTTGGGTTGTGATCTGTCTCCTGCATCCAGTGAGAGCACATAAAGCATCAGTTTTCTGCTCAGCATCAATGAGAAAACACATACCCTTAGGACCACGGTCTCTGTCAAGTACAGGGTCAGACATGGGCTTCCTTGCTGACATTCACAGTAGAAATCATCGCAACTATGAATAAGTGTGTCCACCAGAATAAGGTGTGTGGGCTCCCACAGTCTACGGAATTTCATTGGGTCAGTGGTGGGGTTTAGGGCACGATTGATCTTATCTAATAAAAGCCTTTCCTGTTGGATGTGTCAAGCCAGCCTCGAACCCACTCATTGCACAGACTGTATGGGAAGTCTGAGGCAAATGGACTTGGTGCTGACAGCCATATTGTAGACAGAACCTCTATGTAGATGAATCCTACTCTTAATATTCTATGTGTGAGTAGACACTTCTCCAAGAGAGTCCTCTACCTGGCCTTAGTTTGCTGTATTCCACCCAGATTAGGAAATGATCAACCCACAGCTCTTAACACAGGCCCAGGCTGCAGAGCAGTTGATCCAGCTTCCTGCGAAGAGGTAAGGAGCAGCTGCCTGGGGAGGGCTCGCTGGCAAGCATTTGGAGTCTGAACTGCTTCAGCTGTTGCTTCTGTGAGAAAAGGCAGATCATCTGGAGTAAACCTCCTGTTCTGGCATACAGGTTGCCTATCTATCAAAACTTTGAGCTGTTACTGCTGTGTCAGCATGTCCTTAAATATGCAGTAATTTGTTCCAAAACTGAAATAAGGCCTCTGGCCTACTGAGATTGGGGTATCTGGACCTAACTGCCTGTTAAGTAAAAATATATAACAGTTGAGTCATTTGTATACTGTGAGCCTGCCCTTGACTCGCAGGAATGTAGGTAACATGGCATAAGGGCAGTGGGGAGCTCTGGATAAAAGGCCAAACTGTAGGGAGGGGCATGACTAGTACTGGTAAGGGTGCCCAGGTCATGTGGATACACAGCAAAAATCACAGGGATGTGCCTGGAAAACATTCATAGTTGCCATACAGGAAATGAACTGATATGTTCAAACCTGCAAAGCATTATTCATTTATAGCACATCAGAATTCATTTATAATTTAGTCAGGCACCATGGATAAGCCAACAAGAACTCTCTTCTCTTTGTGTCTTCTTGTCAACAGTTTGCTGATGCTGTTGCTTTTAAAACCCTGTGTCTTTGGGGGAGGACTCTCCTAGCCTTGTGCTATAGTAAGGAGGCCTTGACAGCTAAATTGGGCTGTGGTCTCCATTTGTTTCACCACTCCTTCTGGCATTCTGCCTACAGTGATGTCTTACTGACCACTTCTCCTTTTTTTGCCCCCAGCGGATATGAAGGTGACCCAGAAAAGCTTCAACTTTGCCCGGAAGTTCAGTTTGCCCTTTTACTTTGTGTCTGCTGCAGATGGCACCAATGTAGTGAAGGTAAAACATAGCTATTTGGCTCAGCATCCATGAGACCCCTGTACAGTCCAATGACATGGAGACTGCTGTAGGCACAGAGAGCAGAAAATGGGGTAGTACATCTGTTTGGCTACTTGTGAGGTCCTGTCAGCTGTAGGTAGTTGTAGAGGGGTTTTTTTATTATTATTATTTTTCTTGGGGTGTAGGAACAGTTTCCATGTGTTACAGAAACCCAGTGCCCCTTTGAGTGAAAAGCATTCTCCTTCTCATCAGCTCTTCAATGATGCTATCAAACTGGCGGTTACTTACAAACAGAATTCAGGAGATTTCATGGATGAGGTCATGCGAGAACTGGAGGTAAGAAAGGCTCTACTACTGCACTCCTCCTAAGTAATTTGCAGCTCAGCTTTTTTCCCTCAGGGAAAGCAGAGCCTGTGGCAAAGGGTGAAACTTGGCAGGCGTGGAAGGATTTGTCTTATAGTGACACCATGGGTTTGTGTGCTGCTTGTGTCTAGGTTGGAAGGGGTGAGGTGGTGACCCTCTGAAGAGCCCAGATCTGAAAGAACCTTAGACCAAATCTGAAAGAACCACAGCAGAGTGTAGCTGTTGTTCTCATGCTTCTCAGCAGTTCCTTGTCCTGCTCCTTTCCAGAGTTTTGACCTGCAGAAGAAGAGTGAGAATTTGTCGGATAAAGAGAGCTGCCCTGAAGAGAAGCCCCCATCTGCCTAAGCCCGGGACCCTGAGTCTGTTTCTCCCTTTGCTCTACATTTCTGGGGCTAGTTAGAGCTGGCCTTCAGAGAAGAAAACGATTTTTCTCGTGCCCTGAGAGCTCTGGTGATGGGCAGCTGGGCCTCTCCCCTTCTTGTGGGACACTATCTGGGCATGACCTTCCTTGACTTGACCCTAACAACTGCACATCACAGTCAAGGGAAGGGTGAGAGCATCCACATGGTTGCCAGTTACTGTATGCTGCTTCAAGGCGAAGCTTGCCAGGAGAGCTAAGCTACTCTTGGACTTTCAGGGAAGGGTCCTGCCCAGATGCTTTGATGGAATGTACTGGAGAAAACAAATACTAAACAATTTTTTTTATACAGCTTTGAGCTTGTATCCTTCCTACACTTTTGTTATAAGGCAGTCCAGTTACTACACAGGGCAATTCCTACTACAAGCCCTCGCCATTGCTTTCACAGTCTAGCCAGTGCTGCCTTTTTGTCCACCCCTGTGATGTCTGCTGAAGAGTTTATTTGGTTTTCCTTCCCCATTCTGTTATGGAACAGCCAGATCCAACAGAATTCTGAACATGGGGGAATTCTCATTTCAGGTCCAATAAAGCTGAATCAGGTGTACGCTCACAACAAGGAGGCTTGTCCTATCCCAGCCTGATGAATGGGGCTGCTGCTGTTCCCATTTGTGTGTTGAAGAGACTTATACTGCATTCCAAAGAGCCAGATACATGAACACACACACACAGACTTACACAGTTAATGTGAATGGCAGAACAGATTGACATAGACAGAGCAATGCCTTTACCCAAGTAAACATAACCACTGCTTACATAAATATGAACACATTCCAGTACTATTCTGCTTTTCCAGATGATCAGGAGTGGCTGTTCACTAGTGAAACATAAACATACCTTAATTTCCTAGATTCATAAGAACAGCACGTGCATAGATTTCTCAAATACCAGTATGGAAATAAAATCCATGTAATATCTATGGCTGGAAGACAGGCGACTTACCCAGTCATTGGTGTAAATCTTGGGTCTTTCTAGATCTGAGTCTCCTGGGTCATGAGGGAGTCCAGTTTCAAGTTCACTGCTGCATTATACACACACACAGGGGTCCCACAAGTAGCTAGTGTAGAAGATCTGTGTTTCCAACTGCTGTCCCCAAGATCTCTAGCCCGATATGACCAGTGTTCCCTTCTTCTACTGCACCCTCACCCTACTCTCTGACCAGGCAGAGTTTTGGCCCCTTTTGTGGCTCTTTCCCTTTGTGCCCCACTTGTCTGCCCGCAGCCGCATTTTGCAGGTGCCAGGCATGGAAGTCCCTGCCTTGCACTGGAGACTGAATTGGCCTGAAGTATGGTTAGCTGTGAAAACTGGTGAGTTTATTTCAAGAACTATGTCAACTTCAGCACTGGTGTGTGCTCGGAGGAGCGTGGGCAGGACGGAGCAGGCCTTTGACACTGAGGCTGCCTTTGGCTCAGCAGGCAGTGCCCCAGAAAGAAATGGTCGTGGTACGCTGCAAGCCTGCACTGGATCCTCTTCATCCTGTTGCTCAAGCCTTTTTTTCCTTTAGGAACAGCAGGAGCTCCTGCGCCCGAGAAAAGAATTCCACCAGCTTCCCAAGGGGAAAGGGGCAGGAGCTAAACTTGCCCGATTGTGTTGGTGTTGGCCTCTGATAAGGGGCTGAGGCAGTGAGAAAATGACTCCATGCCCCTGATGTTGGAGAAGCCCTTGCTGCTGAGCGAAATCCCATCTGTGTCAGGATCCAGTCGTAGAAGTGCTGAGTGGAGGTGTAGATTCCAGGCCGTTTTGCTCTTGCATAGCCTTTCCCCCAGCTGGTCACTCCAACAAGCCAGAAGTAGTCAGCATTTTTATCTTTGCAGACGAGAGGACCACCGCTGTCACCCTGCAGCGGAGGAGAGAGGATGAAGGGGGTGTTAGGTGGCCACTGTCAGCACTAGGGCTGGCTGCTTCTCTCCCACAGCACCTGCCAGCGCTGTATTCACTGCACAGAAAGGCTCTGCAGCTGCTGGAGCCTACAGAAACTTTTCTAGGAAGAAGCCACAGGCCTGTAAGGCAGGGTGTGCTCTCTCTCCTCTCTGCACTGTGATGCTGGATGTGTGGAAGGGGGATGTTCCAGGATTGGGATCTGGGCCTACGGGCTGCCAGCAGCACCGGATGGGCTTTCTGGGCAGAGTCCCCGGGCTCTGAGACAGATGGGGCACTGGGCGAGAACCTGCAGAGAGGGAAGGGGAGGTGAGCCTACCTGGCAGGTGTCAATGCCGCCCTGCGGGTAGCCAGCACACAGGTTGTGGGTGTGGACGGCTCCTCTGTACCACTGGCTGCTGTTACAGAGGTTGACATCAATGAGGGGGACCCTGGCTTCCTGCAGGACAGCAGTTGATCCTCCAGCTGTGAGCACAGAAAGGAGGTAACACTCAGGAGGTTGTTGCCAGTTCTCCTTCCCTGCCTGGGTGAACCCCTTCCCTAGGGCTCGGCTTTGTGTCGTGAGAGGCACTGTACCGGTGTTTCCCTTCTGTCTGGCTTTGGGTAGTGGGCCAGGCCCATCTCTCTACAGGCATACGTCCCTACATGCCGACTCTGGCTTTTGCCTCTGCTGTGAGGAAGCCCAGCCCGCCTCCCCGGTGTGCCGAGCTTGCACTTGGGACACAAGGATTCTGCAGGAACTTACATTTTGCATGTGTGGAACCCCAGCCACTGACGTAGCAGTCTGTCAGCTCTGACACTTTCAGCCAGGCGTTGGGCACACAGGCAAGCTGTACATAGTAGCCACACTGTACAGGCTGGTCCAATTCCAGCAACGCAATGTCGTTCCTCTGCGAGATATTACTATAGCGTTGGTGAGCCACCAGCCGCCTAATACCGCGCACTTGGGACTCAGGGCCCAGCTGAGTCAAGTAGGTGGTCCCGACCACCACACGCCACGTCCTGATGTCCCTGGAAGGCAGATGGAGAGAGGGCTTAAAGGGAGCAGAGACATGTGCTGCAGCAGCCCAGCAGTTCCCTGCGTTCTGCTTCACAGGGGAGAGAGAAAAGCAGCGCTACAGAAGGTGCGACTGCCCTAGCATGCCTTCAGCTCGAGGCATGTCGAGCCGGAGGCTGCGAGGAAGCAGTGGCAGCAGCGCAGCCTCCTCCTGAACAGTCTCTCAGCCGGGCTCTGCAGTGCTGGAAACGGGATGGGAGTAGCAGGTGGTGCTGCGGACAGGGCACCTGTGAGTGCTGTGGGGATATCCCCGTTCCCTGGTCCTCCTTACCTGGCCTCGACGAAGCAGTGGGCTGCTGTGAGAACCCACTGTGGGCTGATGAGGGACCCTCCGCATATATGCCCCACACCTGCTAGCCAGGGATTCTGGATGCTGACGATCCAGGGCCAGGCCCCTGGGTGGGAGCTTGTGCCACCCACGACACGCGACATGCCGTAGTAAGAAGCCATGGGCCGGAGCCCGCAGGTCCCTCTGTAACCAGAAACTCGTTACCGTCCTGTTCGATGACTCGCTGCTGTTCAGGCTGAAGCTCAGCCATCCTCCCTCCCCACAGGTGTTGCACGGACAGCAGGGCCAGGGAAGCCCGTGCGGCGTGCGGACGTTGGCCCGTTCCTGCCTTAGCCCCGTAGACGAGCTGGGCCAGCAGCCTGAGTGCTGCAAGGAACCGAGGCTTCCACGTGGGGTTCGGGAAGCTGTGGTGTGGCCACGGGGGACAAGCAGGCACCCTCCAGTGAAGCCCACAAGGGTTGCCCCAGCTCCCTCCCAGAGCCTCGGGCCACTTACCCACAGTTGTCCCATGTGCCACGCGCAGGCCAGCACACGGCCAGCAGGACGAGGAGGGGGAGCAAGCGCATCGCTACCAGCAGCACGTGCGGGCTGTAGGAACCGAGGGCTCGTTGCCAGTGGCGCAGCAGCCGACACAGTGCCCGCAGCACTCACGTTGCCCGCGGTGCCCTCAGCAACAGGGCTGATGTCACAGAGTCACTGGTTCCGGGTGCTAGGCACGGTGGCCCCTTGGGGGGGGACGGGGACGGGGACGGGGGGGACGGGGCAGGTTCGAAGCAGGAGGGGAGGCAGAAGCCGGGATCGGACGCCCCCGGCAGACCCCCACCCACTGCTCTGCCTGCGGGATGAGGGTGTGTAGGCCCCGTGGCAGGCAGCAGCGCCTGGCTCCAAGCACTGCCTGCTCATGGCTAGCAGGAAAAAAACAAGTGTGGCATCACAGCCTCTTTGGGAAGTTCATTCACTGCCACCCCGCTCTCTGCAGCCTTTTGCCACCAGGTCCTTCCCAAAAACAGACACCAGAGAACACAACTACCGCAGGCAGTATGCACAAGTTTGGGTGTTGTAGAGCCAATCTGGTTACAGCCGCTGCAGGCAAGCAGTGATGTGCAAGGCAAATAAGCCAAGCAGACCCAAGCAACGTCAACCTTCGTGCACACAGCACAGTGAAACGCAGATGCAGGACAGTCCACACTGGCTACGTCAGCCATAGCAACATCCACTGACAGGCTTCATGTCCTTGCTGTCTATGAGTTCTGTTGCTGCTCTGGGACAAGGTAGACAAGGGCAGTTGTGGCACCCGGTATGCGTGGCCAAGGTCTTGCAATGTCAAGCTCTAGAAAAGAAGGATGCTCCTGCTTTCATCCTCACTCTCCATTCAGCTCCACTCTCCACATGCCATTCTCCGTGACTTTGGTAAATCCTGTATCAGCCTAATCTCATCAGGCTCCCTTCCACAGCAGATGGTGGAGCCTTGCTCACCTGATGGAGCACAGGGCAGTCATGGGAGAAAAGCAGGAGCCAGCCACGTGCGCTGCCTTTGCTGAGTGGGGCTAGGTTCCTGGAGGTGGTAGCTTGAAGAACGGCAGCCTCAACGCTTGTGAAAAGTGCAGGAGCTTCCTGCTGCCGTCCTGGCTTGTGTGGATATATGTAAGGCACACAACTGAGTGCACAACCTGGTCCTTAGGATGGCAGGCCAGGCTCTGTCTGAAAATGGAATAGCTGCTATCAAGGCCCTACAGGCAGCAGGACTGGGCCTCAAACTGAACTCAAGGCTGATTTGTTTTTTGAAAATTGACCTGAAGGTGGTGCCCCATATCTGCTTAGAGCAGGCAGAAGAAGGCCTTAGAGAAGACTTGTCTTCTGTGGATACTCTGCTATTCCAGCACCAGATTTTGGACGTGGTTAAAGGAGAATTATGTGAGAGGTGGCCACACTTCACAGATACATGAAGGAATGGTTGGGGTCATTTTGGGGAGAGGAGTCTGGCAGGGACAGCAGTAGCCAGGAAACCACATCAGTAATGCCACAGAAGTCCAAGGTGATCTAACTAATGTCACCTGGGACACCAAATCTGTTCACAAGCCTAGCTAACCTGGGAGCAAGGGGGAAAAAACAATCACAGGTAGGTCCCTCATTTGGGAGGACACAAGGGTGGAGAAAGGGAGCACTCAAGGCAGGTGAGTGGGATATAAAAGCATGGAAAATGGAGAGAAAGGGGGATCAAGGAGCCAGTCACCCCTAAGCTGCTAGTTGGATTGCTTGTTTGGCTGAGCCTTGCACATAACCACCACAACCCGTCCTACCTTCTTGTTGAGAGTGATTCCCAACCTTTCTCTGTGCGGCTCCGCTCTGTCCCCGGGGTGGGGTGGGCCCAGAGGCCTGGCTGCTAGCAATGGCAGGAGGGAACACAGGTCGGGGGACCCCCCAGTTGGAAACACCCAGTGTCTAGGGCCAGCGACTGGTGGGAGCGCTGTGTGCATGTGCAATTCACTGGGAAACTTGGAGCTGGACTAGCTCACAAGCAAGAGGAGATAGACCTGAAAATACACAAAGTCTGTGCTAATTACTGGATAAGTAAATTGACATCCAGCCCCAGATTTGAATTCCCATGCTAATATTTAAGGGCCCCATGAACGTGCCGTGCTTGCAAATTTAGGGAGTGATGTGTGTGTGTGTTTCACTACTGAACATCAGCCCTGTTCAGCTGAAGAGGAAGACGGGGACTGGGTTGTGCTTTTTGTGTTAAGCGGGTGCTGGTAAAGGTGCTGCTCTATGTTAATCTGTTTTGCTATTCGTGCCAGTGAAGTATGTGCGCATGTTCTTGAATGTGATGTGGCTGTTTGGAAGACTAACTATTGCACCTGTGTGTGGGAACAGCAGTCACATCCATTGGACTGAGATGGGAGAAACCTCCTGGGAATGAGTCCTCCCAGTTCAGCTCCCGATCTTCTGCAAGGAGAAATTCTCTGGGAGGAACATGGGCTGGATACAGTATGCACAGAGTGCACGCACACAAACACACACACATGCACATGCACACACAGCATGTACACAGTACAGGCACCAAAATTGTGTGTGCACACACACTACGTTCACGCACAGGGTGCATGCGCGCGCACACACACACACACACACACAGTGGAGACACGCATGGGGGTACAAACAGAATGTGCAGTGCACACCTGGAGCATGTGCACCCCCTTACTCCAAAACACACCTCTTGAACACAGTGCAGTGTGCAGTGTTCACATACACACAGAGTGCATGTACATGCATACCTGGCTGCGCACGTGTGCACACATGCACACACACACAAAGCATACACACACAAGCAGTGCATGCCCACCCTGCAGTATGCATGCATGCAGAATGCACCCACCCACACACCCCACATGCATGCACCAGCATGCACCCCCTTATCTGCCCACATGCACACTCTAGGCATACACCCAATGATGCATGCACACGTCGAATGCACCTCCCACGGGGGCACATGAAAACTCACTTGTCTATGCATGCACGCACACATGTCCACGCACGCATACACATATGCAGGCATACACACGTACGTGCATGCATACACACTCACAGAGGGAAGTGTTGCACCCACACAAACACATAGCCTGTTATCACCCACATGCTCTGGAGCTGCTTGCATGGATGCAGGCTATCACACCCACTCCTGCCTGTTCCCTCCTGTGTTTGGCCCACACGTCTGTCAGTGTGTGCTTGCTTCCACAGCACTGCAGAAGTCGGGCCTGTCCCTCCACACCCAGCTGCACGGACACTGTTCATCTGCGTTCACTGGCACCTGTGCACGCTGGGGCAGTCACAGCATGCCTTGCTCAGTTTCCTGCAGACAAGTTACCTGCCCACCGTGCACATGGTCCCCACACGTCCTGCCCTGTTCCTTGTCTGGTCTCTGAAACTGTCCCTGTGCCGTGCCCGCTCCCACCCCAAGCTCAGAGCCCTAACTGTTCTCTCAGTGTCCTGACTGCCAGCCCCCAGCGCCCTGATCCCTGTGGCCAGGCACCACACAGCAAGCACTGCCATGCCCTACGAGCAAAGTGGGCTCCATGAATTATGCAGCAGTTTTGCCTCCTGCTGCAGCACCAGCCTCCTCACTCTGCCTCTTGGCCCTGAATAATTGATGGCAGTGAGCACAGCAGCAGCAGCAGCAGCCCCAGCATCCTTCTTGTGCCAAGGGCCAGGCCGTTAGGAGGCATGGGGCTAGACACGCAGGAAGGCCAGGGGCTACAGTGACAGTCTGAACAATGGAGAACAGGGAAGCAGTGGAAAGCAGAGTTAGCTGACACATTAGAAAGTGGTTGTAAAAGTGGGATGGGTCTTAAGAAATGCTGACTAGTAACAACAAGAAAATCTGGTTGTAAAAGTGGGATGGGTCTTAAGAAATGCTGACTAGTAACAACAAGAAATCCAGAACAGACTGGTCACGCTGGCTGGACGTAAAACAGAGGTGTATCTACATGCGATCATCCCGACTAGGACATTAGGCATTCTCACCCCTGCTTTGTCTTTGGGCTGAAACTCCTCCCCTCTGCCTGCTGGGTGATTAATCCTAGACCACTGCTGCTGTGCCTGTGCCAGTACACCACCTCTGGTCTTGCTTTAATCTCATTTTGGATAAACTGAACAGATGGAGATCTTGAGGACATTCAACTCCTTCCTGTGCCTGTTTTCCGAGTTCTCTCTGCTTTTCAAAAGCAAACACAGCAATGGGGTACAGCCTTCCCAGGGTGCAGAACCTTCCCTTTTCCTCCTCGTTCTCCTTATCATTCTCTTCCATCGGAGAACTGCTGTTGGTTGCTCTTTGCACTGTCCCTTCCTCACTTTGATTACAAGGCATTGATTTGCAGGATATGGGCTACCTGTGTTCAGGCACAACCAGCAGTTTGTGAGCCTGAACGTGAAAGTCCGTCACTGCTGTATGAAAACAGAAACAAACTTTGCCCGGTGTTATAAATCGAGACTACAATGGGTCGAACTCCAATTGAAATTTTATTAATTATAGCAAGTAGAATATGAGCAAAACCAGCGCTGGACGACAGGGCAGTCTGTACTCCACCAACTGCCGTACTGAGGAGAACAAACTGTCCCTTTTTATACATTTTTTTTCCCGCGTTCATGGAGTGGTGAAGATACTATGTTTCAACTGTTGCTGGGGTCTAGAGTGGTGGAGATACTCTGCGCATGTGCTAGTTGTTGTTAGGGGGTCGTTTTCTGCCTTCTGGTGGTCGATGATATCCTTATATGGAGTTGTTTTTCTTCTGTTTGTTTTCTTGGGATATCTTGTGATCTGCAGCGTCGGCCATGTGTGCACAAGCAACACATAATTCCATGAACGATCTCCCCTCCTCTTATTATCTTTAAGTCTTAATAAACAATATACTTAACTCATAGTTTCTCACACCCGGAAAGTGCCCAGGCTCCCACAGGGCCCAGCCTCCTCCAAACGATGGCATGCTCTCTGTCCCAAGGGATTTCGCACCCTGTGCGCATCTGGAGAAAAGCAGCTGCATTTGCTCTCCCAGAAGGCGGGAAGCTGGAAGCAGTGGCCCGGGCAGTGACAGGGGATGTCCGCTCGGGCCACCCAGCCCCAGCGGAGAGGACGTCTGTTTGCTGCCACACGCCGGGGTGCCCGTCTGCTCCCAGGACAGCTTCACGGTGTCCCAGCCTCCGCCCCGGTGCGGCTGGCTGCAGGCCCGGCTGCCGGTGCCTGCAAGGCTTTTTCCCCCAGAGACCAGGGGCTGCGCACCCGGGCTGAGTCCGCAGCCCCCAACCCTGGGCACCACCGAGGGGGATTCTGAGGGAAGCCCCTGTAGCTGACCGCAGCACGAGGGGGCAGGCCCGGGTCCCATGGGGCCGGCGGCACCGGGCACGGCGGCGGCGAGGGACCGGCGGCGGCGCGGACTACAACTCCCGGCATGCCCCGCGGCGGGGGGCGGGTCGCGTGGCTGCCCGCGCCTGTCGGGCTCCGTCGGTGGCGGAGCTGCGGGCCCTGCCCGGCCGGTGCTGGGGCTGCGGGTTCCGCCGGGGTCTCGCATCGCTGCCGCCGCATCGCATCGCTGCCGCCGCATCGCATCGCTGCCGGGCTCGAACACGGACCCGTAGTAGCCCACGTAGTGGCCCTGTAGCCCATGCTGACCGCGCGTGTCGGCGGGGCCTCGCCGGGCGGCAGCGCCATGGGGCCGTGGGGCCGGGGCCTGCCGTGGGCTCTGGTGCTGCTCGCCTTGCGCGGAGCGGCCGGCGCCCGCCCCAGCTTCGTCCTGTTGCTGGCGGATGACCTGGGCTTCGGAGACCTGGGCAGCTACGGGCATCCTTCTTCGGCCACGCCCAGCCTGGACCGGATGGCTTCCCGAGGGCTGCGGTTCACCGACTTCTACAGCAGCTCCCCGGTGTGCAGCCCGTCCCGGTACGTCCGCTGCTGCTCCTGCCGCTCTGCCTGGTGGCTGCTGCAGGGCCCCGCGGCAGGTTTGGAGGAAGCACGGCTCGGCACCCAGCTGGGGAGCTGCAGCACTGGGAGGAACGGGTGGTTGACAAACCTGCCGTGTGCCAGGAGGCCCCGGGGTCCAACTGCTCTGTGAGGGGACTGATGGAGCTTCCCAGCAGGCCGGGGAGGCGACAGTGGCAGCTGTGAGGCCGGCGAGCCAAGCTGCCAGGTGCCAGAGAACGGGGCACTCTCTGTGGAGGCTGAGCACCGCGACCTGCGCTGCACCCAGTGTGATGCCTGCCTTCTCTCCCTTTCACCTGTAGGGCAGCCCTGCTGACAGGCCGGTTCCAGATGCGCTCCGGGGTTTACCCTGGTGTGTTCAGCCCAGACTCACGGGGAGGCCTGCCGCTGTCTGAGGTCACCATTGCTGAAGTGCTGAAGGCTGAGGGCTATGCCACAGCCATGGTTGGCAAGTGGCACCTTGGCCTGGGGATTAACGGCTCCCTTCTGCCCATTCATCAGGGCTTTGACCACTTCTTGGGTGTGCCCTACTCTCATGACCAGGTGAGAGGCCTGTCAAGCCGCCAAGGGTGTCTTGGGGATGGCTGGGGGAGTGCCTGAAAGATGAAGCTTGCTTGAGAGCACACAGGCTCTCAAGTTCTTGCCGGAGCAGATGGGTGCGGGTGACTGCAGGCCGGGGAGAGGGGTGCTGGTGGGGAAAGCCCATCTCTGAGATGCTTGGCTGGTGGGGCAGTTTTGTACAACATAGGTGGTAGTTGCGTGAGGGTACATACACCCTTTGTCAAGGGAGGAAGGGTCAGCTTCTGGGCTACAAAGAAACATCTGAGTTGCTGTCAGGAGAAAATTATGTTGGGGCAGCATGGTCCTTGGACGATTCTAGGGTGGGCACAGACCCCTTTGCTTCTGGGAGTGGTTGCCCAAAGGGTGCCCGTGGGACCTGGTAGTGGGCCACTGTGAGACTCTTTGCTCCCTTCCCCTCACCGTCCTGCAACGTAGGTAGAAGACAAAGTGTCATTTGTTCTCTCCAGGGCCCTTGCCAGAATCTCACCTGCTTCCCACCTGACGTCAAGTGTTTTGGGACTTGTGACCAAGGCTTGGTGCCAGTCCCACTGCTCTGGAACCAGAGCATTGTGCAGCAGCCAGTCTCTTTCCCTGATCTGGTGCCACTCTACAACAAATTCTCCCGAGACTTCATCGCTGACTGTGCCCGACGAGGCCTCCCCTTCCTGCTCTACTATGCTTCCCACGTAGGAGAGGGAGAGGGCTGCTCTGGGCCCAAGGGTGGGGAAGGGAGCCTTTGTCCTGTGGGGAGAGCAGAGAAGCATCTCAGCTCCTGCAGCCCCAGGGCTGTGCTGAGCAGTCGATACCTGCTTTTGGATGATCTGGGGTTGCTGTTCCCATGCTCAGGTCTTGCATGGCTTTGATAATGTTCTTGGGCTGCTTCTTTCTGGAGTTCTGCCTGCTTCTTTGGGCCAGGAGCCCACCTGGGAAAACTTCCTGCTCTGGGGCTCCATGTCCTCTCCTGGGGCTCAGCTCCTTTGTGCCATTTCTGAGAGATGCTTCCAAAGCTTGGGGAGAAGCCTCCTCTCATCTCATGGCTATTGTCACATTTCTCTGTGTCCAGGCTGGGGTGCTTACTGTCCCCGGGTGAACTGGGAACCAGATGCAGCTCTAGGAGTTTGCACAGCCGTCTTCTCTACCCTTTCTCCAGCATACACACTACCCTCAATTTGCAAGCCAGGAGTATGCAGGGCAGTCACGGCGTGGGCCGTTTGGTGATGCGCTCTTGGAGTTTGACGGCTCAGTGGGACAGCTGCTGCAGACACTGCAGGAAAATGGTCTTGCAAACACGACCTTGGTGTTTTTCACCTCTGACAATGGGTGAGTAGGCTCAGCAGCAGGGATTTTGTCACTAATAAGATTCGGCTGCCATGGTATGGGGGAACTGGAATGAGGCATTGGTTGTCTGGAACAAAAGGGATGTGGTGTGGCATTGCCAGGTGAGACCCCGGTGACCTGAAGTAAGGCAAGAGGTGGGTGCTGCTCTGGAGAGGACCCAGTGCAGTCCTTGTTCCTGTGATTCAGCAATGCCCTTCCTTGTGGGCAGAAACTTCACAGGGTTCAGTCCAGGAGCGTGCAGCAGCCCAAATATACCCCGGTTCCCTTTGTGTGAGTGGCACTGGTCTGGTGCCCTGCTTAAGAGTCTCACACACCTTGGCTTCTTTACCTGCCCCGTGTCTCCTGCCTTATGAGGCTGAAAAGGATGGCGGTGTCACTAGCTGGCACCATGTCTCACTTGTCATGGCCCCATTGGCAGCATCAGGGAAGGGGTAGTGTGAGCCTGTGAAACCGAGGGTAGGTGGTTCTCTCTTGCAGCCCATCCACCTTGCGGATGGCACGTGGAGGCAGTTCTGGCCTTCTGAAGTGTGGGAAGGGCACAACATACGAAGGTGGCATGCGGGAACCAGCAGTGGCTTATTGGCCAGGCCATATCACTCCAGGTAAGACTTGGCACTGCTTGTGCCTTTTGCATGCTGATGCCAGCCAAGGCAGGGTGTCATGGCAGCTTGGCTGCCCAGGAACAAGCAGAGGACTGGAGAGAGGTGAGGACGGCGGGATTGAAGTGGGATCAGGTGCTTGAACCTTTTCTTGTGCCTTGCTGTGGTGGGTGACAGGAGTGACACATGAACTGGCAAGCACCCTGGACATCCTGCCAACACTGGCTACCCTGGCTGGAGCAGCTCTTCCCAAAGTTGCCCTGGATGGCTATGACCTGAGTCCAGTGCTGTTTGGGTCAGGGAAGGTGAGTCCTGCGGGCTGGTTCAGCTGGCATTGTGCATGAAAGCTGGGTGTGGGGCTGAAGCTGTGTGCCTGATGAGTACAACCAGCTGGGGGTCAGGGGAGATCCATGAGCTGGGACCTTTTGTCTGGCCTGGGTCATGCCATGGAATTCCTCGGCTTCCCCAGGCTGCTCTGCTCTGACAACTGCAACATATTGCTGGGCCAAACCCCCATGGGCGCAGTGGATGGACAGCCCCAGTAGCTTGGAGTAGGGAACAAACAGGATGCTGCTGCTCGTCAGCTTCCCCCCTCTCTGGCCATGTTCTTGCTGTAGTATCAGGGCTCCTGTGTGACTCCCTGGAGTCTCTGCCTGGTCATGTTCCAGACTTTTCTTCAGCCTCATGGCTGCACAGGTGAGCTTAGTTCTGCTACTTCCCGCAGAGTCCTCGGCAGACAATGTTCTTCTACCCGCCATCCCCTGATCCGCTGCACGGCCCCTTTGCTGTCAGGCTTGGGAAGTACAAGGCCCATTACTTCACACAAGGTTAGTGCTGCCTCCTCTTATCTACACAGTCGACTTTGTGAAGTCCCATATGGTTTTGCTGTCCAAACCTCAAAGAGAAGAAACTGGGCTATGCCTGGGGGTCTCTTTTGCAGGTTCCTTTCACAGCGATACGACCCCAGACCAGGCCTGCCACGGGCTGACCCCGCTGACCCCTCACTTGCCCCCGCTGCTCTTTGACTTGGAGTCAGACCCAGCTGAGAACTATGATCTGCTGCAGAGTGGCGCAGGGCCGGAGGTTCTGCAAGTCCTGAAGGAGATCAAACTGCGGAAAGTGCTTTTGGAGCAGCAAATGGGGTTTGGAGAAAGCCAGATCAGGAAGGGCAGGGATCCCGCCCTGCAGCCCTGCTGCGTACCAAACTGCACTCCTAAGCCTTCCTGCTGCTACTGCTCCTAGCTTCTTGCTGCTCCATCCCCTTCAGTTGTTCCACACTGGAACGCTATCCAGGACCCACCAAACACCCCCTCTGTCCCCAACTAACCAAGCTCAGCCTTAGAGCTACCCTGCAGCTTTGGCTCAGTGACACCTCTGTCTAATAGAGTGCTGGGGTAGCCAACTGTGGGTTGGGGAGATTACCAACCCTGCTAGGAGCGCAGGTCAGTGGATCCTATGCTCTGCGTTGGATGTCCAAGCTAAGGCCTCTTGACAGAAACCCTGACTTGTTCAGGGTGGGATCATGGTACATCGTCATCTCCAGAGCCAGAACAACTCCTTTCAAACCACAATCAAGGTGAAGCAAAGGGCATGCCCCAGTGTTCAGAGCTCCCAGCTCAGCTGGAGACATGCTCTGCACCTCTGAGTAAGAACAGAGCTGGAAGCTGCAGCACCATCACTCGCCAGGGGCCAAGAACACAGCAAGAGGAGGATGGCATGGATGGTCCTGGCAGCTTCAGAGGCAGGACCTTGTGCAGCTAGTGCAGAATGGACATGCCTAGGTGGAAAGCAGCTTGGGGTATGTGTGCTTAAGTACCTCCAAGTCCTTCATGACTCCAGGAGGTGGAGATGTGGCCAGTGGTTGTCAGGATTGGTCCTCTTGTAAGGTCTGTGGATCTTGGGGCTGATCAATCAGGTGGGCGGCAACCACATGCCATCCACATGACTGAAAGGGTCTGTCTCCTCTTGCTTGTGAGCTAGTCCAGCTCCAAGTTTCCCAGTGAATTGCACATGCACACAGCGCTCCCACCAGTCGCTGGCCCTAGACACTGGGTGTTTCCAACTGGGGGGTCCCCCGACCTGTGTTCCCTCCTGCCATTGCTAGCAGCCAGGCCTCTGGGCCCACCCCACCCCGGGGACAGAGCGGAGCCGCACAGAGAAAGGTTTGGAATCACTCTCAACAAGAAGGTAGGACGGGTTGTGGTGGTTACGTGCAAGGCTCAGCCAAACAAGCAATCCAACTAGCAGCTTAGGGGTGACTGGCTCCTTGATCCCCCTTTCTCTCCATTTTCCATGCTTTTATATCCCACTCACCTGCCTTGAGTGCTCCCTTTCTCCACCCTTGTGTCCTCCCAAATGAGGGACCTACCTGTGATTGTTTTTTCCCCCTTGCTCCCAGGTTAGCTAGGCTTGTGAACAGATTTGGTGTCCCAGGTGACATTAGTTAGATCACCTTGGACTTCTGTGGCATTACTGATGTGGTTTCCTGGCTACTGCTGTCCCTGCCAGACTCCTCTCCCCAAAATGACCCCAACCATTCCTTCATGTATCTGTGAAGTGTGGCCACCTCTCACATAATTCTCCCTTAACCACATGCAAACCCTGGCTCTCTCTCATGGCACTGTAACTCCTCTCAGCTTCTCACACTTTGCTATGGTCGGTAATTTCTCTTGTTATGCTCAGAATTATCCCGTGATATGTTCAGTTAGCTATGGTTTATGCCAGGCCCAGATCATCAGCTTGTGTGCCTTAATGCATACCCGAAAGTTTCTGCATGTCACGTCAATTTTTCCTCTTTTCTTTCTAGCCATGATATGCCAGTCTCCTCCATCCCATGGTGACTCTAAGCATCATCCTCTCTGACCAGGCAGAGTTTTGGCCCCTTTTGTGGCTCTTTCCCTTTGTGCCCCACTTGTCTGCCCGCAGCCGCATTGTGCAGGTGCCAGGCATGGAAGTCCCTGCCTTGCACTGGAGACTGAATTGGCCTGAAGTATGGTTAGCTGTGAAAACTGGTGAGTTTATTTCAAGAACTGTGTCAACTTCAGCACTGGTGTGTGCTCGGAGGAGCGTGGGCAGGACGGAGCAGGCCTTTGACACTGAGGCTGCCTTTGGCTCAGCAGGCAGTGCCCCAGAAAGAAATGGTCGTGGTACGCTGCAAGCCTGCACTGGATCCTCTTCATCCTGTTGCTCAAGCCTTTTTTTCCTTTAGGAACAGCAGGAGCTCCTGCGCCCGAGAAAAGAATTCCACCAGCTTCCCAAGGGGAAAGGGGCAGGAGCTAAACTTGCCCGATTGTGTTGGTGTTGGCCTCTGATAAGGGGCTTGAGGCAGTGAGAAAATGACTCCATGCCCCTGATGTTGGAGAAGCCCTTGCTGCTGAGCGAAATCCCATCTGTGTCAGGATCCAGTCGTAGAAGTGCTGAGTGGAGGTGTAGATTCCAGGCCGTTTCGCTCTCGCACAGCCTTTCCCCCAGCTGGTCACTCCAACAAGCCAGAAGTAGTCAGCATTTTTATCTTTGCAGACGAGAGGACCACCGCTGTCACCCTGCAGCGGAGGAGAGAGGATGAAGGGGGTGTTAGGTGGCCACTGTCAGCACTAGGGCTGGCTGCTTCTCTCCCACAGCACCTGCCAGCGCTGTATTCACTGCACAGAAAGGCTCTGCAGCTGCTGGAGCCTACAGAAACTTTTCTAGGAAGAAGCCACAGGCCTGTAAGGCAGGGTGTGCTCTCTCTCCTCTCTGCACTGTGATGCTGGATGTGTGGAAGGGGGATGTTCCAGGATTGGGATCTGGGCCTACGGGCTGCCAGCAGCACCGGATGGGCTTTCTGGGCAGAGTCCCCGGCCTCTGAGACAGATGGGGCACTGGGCGAGAACCTGCAGAGAGGGAAGGGGAGGTGAGCCTACCTGGCAGGTGTCAATGCCGCCCTGCGGGTAGCCAGCACACAGGTTGTGGGTGTGGACGGCTCCTCTGTACCACTGGCTGCTGTTACAGAGGTTGACATCAATGAGGGGGACCCTGGCTTCCTGCAGGACAGCAGTTGATCCTCCAGCTGTGAGCACAGAAAGGAGGTAACACTCAGGAGGTTGTTGCCAGTTCTCCTTCCCTGCCTGGGTGAACCCCTTCCCTAGGGCTCGGCTTTGTGTCGTGAGAGGCACTGTACCGGTGTTTCCCTTCTGTCTGGCTTTGGGTAGTGGGCCAGGCCCATCTCTCTACAGGCATACGTCCCTACATGCCGACTCTGGCTTTTGCCTCTGCTGTGAGGAAGCCCAGCCCGCCTCCCCGGTGTGCCGAGCTTGCACTTGGGACACAAGGATTCTGCAGGAACTTACATTTTGCATGTGTGGAACCCCAGCCACTGACGTAGCAGTCTGTCAGCTCTGACACTTTCAGCCAGGCGTTGGGCACACAGGCAAGCTGTACATAGTAGCCACACTGTACAGGCTGGTCCAATTCCAGCAACGCAATGTCGTTCCTCTGCGAGATACTACTATAGCGTTGGTGAGCCACCAGCCGCCTAATACCGCGCACTTGGGACTCAGGGCCCAGCTGAGTCAAGTAGGTGGTCCCGACCACCACACGCCACGTCCTGATGTCCCTGGAAGGCAGATGGAGAGAGGGCTTAAAGGGAGCAGAGACATGTGCTGCAGCAGCCCAGCAGTTCCCTGCGTTCTGCTTCACAGGGGAGAGAGAAAAGCAGCGCTACAGAAGGTGCGACTGCCCTAGCATGCCTTCAGCTCGAGGCATGTCGAGCCGGAGGCTGCGAGGAAGCAGTGGCAGCAGCGCAGCCTCCTCCTGAACAGTCTCTCAGCCGGGCTCTGCAGTGCTGGAAACGGGATGGGAGTAGCAGGTGGTGCTGCGGACAGGGCACCTGTGAGTGCTGTGGGGATATCCCCGTTCCCTGGTCCTCCTTACCTGGCCTCGACGAAGCAGTGGGCTGCTGTGAGAACCCACTGTGGGCTGATGAGGGACCCTCCGCATATATGCCCCACACCTGCTAGCCAGGGATTCTGGATGCTGACGATCCAGGGCCAGGCCCCTGGGTGGGAGCTTGTGCCACCCACGACACGCGACATGCCGTAGTAAGAAGCCATGGGCCGGAGCCCGCAGGTCCCTCTGTAACCAGAAACTCGTTACCGTCCTGTTCGATGACTCGCTGCTGTTCAGGCTGAAGCTCAGCCATCCTCCCTCCCCACAGGTGTTGCACGGACAGCAGGGCCAGGGAAGCCCGTGCGGCGTGCGGACGTTGGCCCGTTCCTGCCTTAGCCCCGTAGACGAGCTGGGCCAGCAGCCTGAGTGCTGCAAGGAACCGAGGCTTCCACGTGGGGTTCGGGAAGCTGTGGTGTGGCCACGGGGGACAAGCAGGCACCCTCCAGTGAAGCCCACAAGGGTTGCCCCAGCTCCCTCCCAGAGCCTCGGGCCACTTACCCACAGTTGTCCCATGTGCCACGCGCAGGCCAGCACACGGCCAGCAGGACGAGGAGGGGGAGCAAGCGCATCGCTACCAGCAGCACGTGCGGGCTGTAGGAACCGAGGGCTCGTTGCCAGTGGCGCAGCAGCCGACACAGTGCCCGCAGCACTCACGTTGCCCGCGGTGCCCTCAGCAACAGGGCTGATGTCACAGAGTCACTGGTTCCGGGTGCTAGGCACGGTGGCCCCTTGGGGGGGGACGGGGACGGGGACGGGGGGGACGGGGCAGGTTCGAAGCAGGAGGGGAGGCAGAAGCCGGGATCGGACGCCCCCGGCAGACCCCCACCCACTGCTCTGCCTGCGGGATGAGGGTGTGTAGGCCCCGTGGCAGGCAGCAGCGCCTGGCTCCAAGCACTGCCTGCTCATGGCTAGCAGGAAAAAAACAAGTGTGGCATCACAGCCTCTTTGGGAAGTTCATTCACTGCCACCCCGCTCTCTGCAGCCTTTTGCCACCAGGTCCTTCCCAAAAACAGACACCAGAGAACACAACTACCGCAGGCAGTATGCACAAGTTTGGGTGTTGTAGAGCCAATCTGGTTACAGCCGCTGCAGGCAAGCAGTGATGTGCAAGGCAAATAAGCCAAGCAGACCCAAGCAACGTCAACCTTCGTGCACACAGCACAGTGAAACGCAGATGCAGGACAGTCCACACTGGCTACTGTCAGCCATAGCAACATCCACTGACAGGCTTCATGTCCTTGCTGTCTATGAGTTCTGTTGCTGCTCTGGGACAAGGTAGACAAGGGCAGTTGTGGCACCCGGTATGCGTGGCCAAGGTCTTGCAATGTCAAGCTCTAGAAAAGAAGGATGCTCCTGCTTTCATCCTCACTCTCCATTCAGCTCCACTCTCCACATGCCATTCTCCGTGACTTTGGTAAATCCTGTATCAGCCTAATCTCATCAGGCTCCCTTCCACAGCAGATGGTGGAGCCTTGCTCACCTGATGGAGCACAGGGCAGTCATGGGAGAAAAGCAGGAGCCAGCCACGTGCGCTGCCTTTGCTGAGTGGGGCTAGGTTCCTGGAGGTGGTAGCTTGAAGAACGGCAGCCTCAACGCTTGTGAAAAGTGCAGGAGCTTCCTGCTGCCGTCCTGGCTTGTGTGGATATATGTAAGGCACACAACTGAGTGCACAACCTGGTCCTTAGGATGGCAGGCCAGGCTCTGTCTGAAAATGGAATAGCTGCTATCAAGGCCCTACAGGCAGCAGGACTGGGCCTCAAACTGAACTCAAGGCTGATTTGTTTTTTGAAAATTGACCTGAAGGTGGTGCCCCATATCTGCTTAGAGCAGGCAGAAGAAGGCCTTAGAGAAGACTTGTCTTCTGTGGATACTCTGCTATTCCAGCACCAGATTTTGGACGTGGTTAAAGGAGAATTATGTGAGAGGTGGCCACACTTCACAGATACATGAAGGAATGGTTGGGGTCATTTTGGGGAGAGGAGTCTGGCAGGGACAGCAGTAGCCAGGAAACCACATCAGTAATGCCACAGAAGTCCAAGGTGATCTAACTAATGTCACCTGGGACACCAAATCTGTTCACAAGCCTAGCTAACCTGGGAGCAAGGGGGAAAAAACAATCACAGGTAGGTCCCTCATTTGGGAGGACACAAGGGTGGAGAAAGGGAGCACTCAAGGCAGGTGAGTGGGATATAAAAGCATGGAAAATGGAGAGAAAGGGGGATCAAGGAGCCAGTCACCCCTAAGCTGCTAGTTGGATTGCTTGTTTGGCTGAGCCTTGCACGTAACCACCACAACCCGTCCTACCTTCTTGTTGAGAGTGATTCCAAACCTTTCTCTGTGCGGCTCCGCTCTGTCCCCGGGGTGGGGTGGGCCCAGAGGCCTGGCTGCTAGCAATGGCAGGAGGGAACACAGGTCGGGGGACCCCCCAGTTGGAAACACCCAGTGTCTAGGGCCAGCGACTGGTGGGAGCGCTGTGTGCATGTGCAAGTCACTGGGAAACTTGGAGCTGGACTAGCTCACAAGCAAGAGGAGACAGACCTGAAAATACACAAAGTCTGTGCTAATTACTGGATAAGTAAATTGACATCCAGCCCCAGATTTGAATTCCCATGCTAATATTTAAGGGCCCCATGAACGTGCCGTGCTTGCAAATTTAGGGAGTGATGTGTGTGTGTGTTTCACTACTGAACATCAGCCCTGTTCAGCTGAAGAGGAAGACGGGGACTGGGTTGTGCTTTTTGTGTTAAGCGGGTGCTGGTAAAGGTGCTGCTCTATGTTAATCTGTTTTGCTATTCGTGCCAGTGAAGTATGTGCGCATGTTCTTGAATGTGATGTGGCTGTTTGGAAGACTAACTATTGCACCTGTGTGTGGGAACAGCAGTCACATCCATTGGACTGAGATGGGAGAAACCTCCTGGGAATGAGTCCTCCCAGTTCAGCTCCCGATCTTCTGCAAGGAGAAATTCTCTGGGAGGAACATGGGCTGGATACAGTATGCACAGAGTGCACGCACACAAACACACACACATGCACATGCACACACAGCATGTACACAGTACAGGCACCAAAATTGTGTGTGCACACACACTACGTTCACGCACAGGGTGCATGCGCGCGCACACACACACACACACACACAGTGGAGACACGCATGGGGGTACAAACAGAATGTGCAGTGCACACCTGGAGCATGTGCACCCCCTTACTCCAAAACACACCTCTTGAACACAGTGCAGTGTGCAGTGTTCACATACACACAGAGTGCATGTACATGCATACCTGGCTGCGCACGTGTGCACACATGCACACACACACAAAACATACACACACAAGCAGTGCATGCCCACCCTGCAGTATGCATGCATGCAGAATGCACCCACCCACACACCCCACATGCATACACCAGCATGCACCCCCTTATCTGCCCACATGCACACTCAAGGCATACACCCAATGATGCATGCACACGTCGAATGCACCTCCCACGGGGGCACATGAAAACTCACTTGTCTATGCATGCACGCACACATGTCCACGCACGCATACACATATGCAGGCATACACACGTACGTGCATGCATACACACTCACAGAGGGAAGTGTTGCACCCACACAAACACATAGCCTGTTATCACCCACATGCTCTGGAGCTGCTTGCATGGATGCAGGCTATCACACCCACTCCTGCCTGTTCCCTCCTGTGTTTGGCCCACACGTCTGTCAGTGTGTGCTTGCTTCCACAGCACTGCAGAAGTCGGGCCTGTCCCTCCACACCCAGCTGCACGGACACTGTTCATCTGCGTTCACTGGCACCTGTGCACGCTGGGGCAGTCACAGCATGCCTTGCTCAGTTTCCTGCAGACAAGTTACCTGCCCACCGTGCACATGGTCCCCACACGTCCTGCCCTGTTCCTTGTCTGGTCTCTGAAACTGTCCCTGTGCCGTGCCCGCTCCCACCCCAAGCTCAGAGCCCTAACTGTTCTCTCAGTGTCCTGACTGCCAGCCCCCAGCGCCCTGATCCCTGTGGCCAGGCACCACACAGCAAGCACTGCCATGCCCTACGAGCAAAGTGGGCTCCATGAATTATGCAGCAGTTTTGCCTCCTGCTGCAGCACCAGCCTCCTCACTCTGCCTCTTGGCCCTGAATAATTGATGGCAGTGAGCACAGCAGCAGCAGCAGCAGCAGCCCCAGCATCCTTCTTGTGCCAAGGGCCAGGCCGTTAGGAGGCATGGGGCTAGACACGCAGGAAGGCCAGGGGCTACAGTGACAGTCTGAACAATGGAGAACAGGGAACAGTGGAAAGCAGAGTTAGCTGACACATTAGAAAGTGGTTGTAAAAGTGGGATGGGTCTTAAGAAATGCTGACTAGTAACAACAAGAAAATCTGGTTGTAAAAGTGGGATGGGTCTTAAGAAATGCTGACTAGTAACAACAAGGAAATCCAGAACAGACTGGTCACGCTGGCTGGACGTAAAACAGAGGTGTATCTACATGCGATCATCCCGACTAGGACATTAGGCATTCTCACCCCTGCTTTGTCTTTGGGCTGAAACTCCTCCCCTCTGCCTGCTGGGTCATTAATCCTAGACCACTGCTGCTGTGCCTGTGCCAGTACACCACCTCTGGTCTTGCTTTAATCTCATTTTGGATAAACTGAACAGATGGAGATCTTGAGGACATTCAACTCCTTCCTGTGCCTGTTTTCCGAGTTCTCTCTGCTTTTCAAAAGCAAACACAGCAATGGGGTACAGCCTTCCCAGGGTGCAGAACCTTCCCTTTTCCTCCTCGTTCTCCTTATCATTCTCTTCCATCGGAGAACTGCTGTTGGTTGCTCTTTGCACTGTCCCTTCCTCACTTTGATTACAAGGCATTGATTTGCAGGATATGGGCTACCTGTGTTCAGGCACAACCAGCAGTTTGTGAGCCTGAACGTGAAAGTCCGTCACTGCTGTATGAAAACAGAAACAAACTTTGCCCGGAAAGTGCCCAGGCTCCCACAGGGCCCAGCCTCCTCCAAACGATGGCATGCTCTCTGTCCCAAGGGATTTCGCACCCTGTGCGCATCTGGAGAAAAGCAGCTGCATTTGCTCTCCCAGAAGGCGGGAAGCTGGAAGCAGTGGCCCGGGCAGTGACAGGGGATGTCCGCTCGGGCCACCCAGCCCCAGCGGAGAGGACGTCTGTTTGCTGCCACACGCCGGGGTGCCCGTCTGCTCCCAGGACAGCTTCACGGTGTCCCAGCCTCCGCCCCGGTGCGGCTGGCTGCAGGCCCGGCTGCCGGTGCCTGCAAGGCTTTTTCCCCCAGAGACCAGGGGCTGCGCACCCGGGCTGAGTCCGCAGCCCCCAACCCTGGGCACCACCGAGGGGGATTCTGAGGGAAGCCCCTGTAGCTGACCGCAGCACGAGGGGGCAGGCCCGGGTCCCATGGGGCCGGCGGCACCGGGCACGGCGGCGGCGAGGGACCGGCGGCGGCGCGGACTACAACTCCCGGCATGCCCCGCGGCGGGGGGCGGGTCGCGTGGCTGCGCGCGCCTGTCGGGCTCCGTCGGTGGCGGAGCTGCGGGCCCTGCCCGGCCGGTGCTGGGGCTGCGGGTTCCGCCGGGGTCTCGCATCGCTGCCGCCGCATCGCATCGCTGCCGCCGCATCGCATCGCTGCCGGGCTCGAACACGGACCCGTAGTAGCCCACGTAGTGGCCCTGTAGCCCATGCTGACCGCGCGTGTCGGCGGGGCCTCGCCGGGCGGCAGCGCCATGGGGCCGTGGGGCCGGGGCCTGCCGTGGGCTCTGGTGCTGCTCGCCTTGCGCGGAGCGGCCGGCGCCCGCCCCAGCTTCGTCCTGTTGCTGGCGGATGACCTGGGCTTCGGAGACCTGGGCAGCTACGGGCATCCTTCTTCGGCCACGCCCAGCCTGGACCGGATGGCTTCCCGAGGGCTGCGGTTCACCGACTTCTACAGCAGCTCCCCGGTGTGCAGCCCGTCCCGGTACGTCCGCTGCTGCTCCTGCCGCTCTGCCTGGTGGCTGCTGCAGGGCCCCGCGGCAGGTTTGGAGGAAGCACGGCTCGGCACCCAGCTGGGGAGCTGCAGCACTGGGAGGAACGGGTGGTTGACAAACCTGCCGTGTGCCAGGAGGCCCCGGGGTCCAACTGCTCTGTGAGGGGACTGATGGAGCTTCCCAGCAGGCCGGGGAGGCGACAGTGGCAGCTGTGAGGCCGGCTGCACCCAGTGTGATGCCTGCCTTCTCTCCCTTTCACCTGTAGGGCAGCCCTGCTGACAGGCCGGTTCCAGATGCGCTCCGGGGTTTACCCTGGTGTGTTCAGCCCAGACTCACGGGGAGGCCTGCCGCTGTCTGAGGTCACCATTGCTGAAGTGCTGAAGGCTGAGGGCTATGCCACAGCCATGGTTGGCAAGTGGCACCTTGGCCTGGGGATTAACGGCTCCCTTCTGCCCATTCATCAGGGCTTTGACCACTTCTTGGGTGTGCCCTACTCTCATGACCAGGTGAGAGGCCTGTCAAGCCGCCAAGGGTGTCTTGGGGATGGCTGGGGGAGTGCCTGAAAGATGAAGCTTGCTTGAGAGCACACAGGCTCTCAAGTTCTTGCCGGAGCAGATGGGTGCGGGTGACTGCAGGCCGGGGAGAGGGGTGCTGGTGGGGAAAGCCCATCTCTGAGATGCTTGGCTGGTGGGGCAGTTTTGTACAACATAGGTGGTAGTTGCGTGAGGGTACATACACCCTTTGTCAAGGGAGGAAGGGTCAGCTTCTGGGCTACAAAGAAACATCTGAGTTGCTGTCAGGAGAAAATTATGTTGGGGCAGCATGGTCCTTGGACGATTCTAGGGTGGGCACAGACCCCTTTGCTTCTGGGAGTGGTTGCCCAAAGGGTGCCCGTGGGACCTGGTAGTGGGCCACTGTGAGACTCTTTGCTCCCTTCCCCTCACCGTCCTGCAACGTAGGTAGAAGACAAAGTGTTATTTGTTCTCTCCAGGGCCCTTGCCAGAATCTCACCTGCTTCCCACCTGACGTCAAGTGTTTTGGGACTTGTGACCAAGGCTTGGTGCCAGTCCCACTGCTCTGGAACCAGAGCATTGTGCAGCAGCCAGTCTCTTTCCCTGATCTGGTGCCACTCTACAACAAATTCTCCCGAGACTTCATCGCTGACTGTGCCCGACGAGGCCTCCCCTTCCTGCTCTACTATGCTTCCCACGTAGGAGAGGGAGAGGGCTGCTCTGGGCCCAAGGGTGGGGAAGGGAGCCTTTGTCCTGTGGGGAGAGCAGAGAAGCATCTCAGCTCCTGCAGCCCCAGGGCTGTGCTGAGCAGTCGATACCTGCTTTTGGATGATCTGGGGTTGCTGTTCCCATGCTCAGGTCTTGCATGGCTTTGATAATGTTCTTGGGCTGCTTCTTTCTGGAGTTTTGCCTGCTTCTTTGGGCCAGGAGCCCACCTGGGAAAACTTCCTGCTCTGGGGCTCCGTGTCCTCTCCTGGGGCTCAGCTCCTTTGTGCCATTTCTGAGAGATGCTTCCAAAGCTTGGGGAGAAGCCTCCTCTCATCTCATGGCTATTGTCACATTTCTCTGTGTCCAGGCTGGGGTGCTTACTGTCCCCGGGTGAACTGGGAACCAGATGCAGCTCTAGGAGTTTGCACAGCCGTCTTCTCTACCCTTTCTCCAGCATACACACTACCCTCAATTTGCAAGCCAGGAGTATGCAGGGCAGTCACGGCGTGGGCCGTTTGGTGATGCGCTCTTGGAGTTTGACGGCTCAGTGGGACAGCTGCTGCAGACACTGCAGGAAAATGGTCTTGCAAACACGACCTTGGTGTTTTTCACCTCTGACAATGGGTGAGTAGGCTCAGCAGCAGGGATTTTGTCACTAATAAGATTCGGCTGCCATGGTATGGGGGAACTGGAATGAGGCATTGGTTGTCTGGAACAAAAGGGATGTGGTGTGGCATTGCCAGGTGAGACCCCGGTGACCTGAAGTAAGGCAAGAGGTGGGTGCTGCTCTGGAGAGGACCCAGTGCAGTCCTTGTTCCTGTGATTCAGCAATGCCCTCCCTTGTGGGCAGAAACTTCACAGGGTTCAGTCCAGGAGCGTGCAGCAGCCCAAATATACCCCGGTTCCCTTTGTGTGAGTGGCATTGGTCTGGTGCCCTGCTTAAGAGTCTCACACACCTTGGCTTCTTTACCTGCCCCGTGTCTCCTGCCTTATGAGGCTGAAAAGGATGGCGGTGTCACTAGCTGGCACCATGTCTCACTTGTCATGGCCCCATTGGCAGCATCAGGGAAGGGGTAGTGTGAGCCTGTGAAACCGAGGGTAGGTGGTTCTCTCTTGCAGCCCATCCACCTTGCGGATGGCACGTGGAGGCAGTTCTGGCCTTCTGAAGTGTGGGAAGGGCACAACATACGAAGGTGGCATGCGGGAACCAGCAGTGGCTTATTGGCCAGGCCATATCACTCCAGGTAAGACTTGGCACTGCTTGTGCCTTTTGCATGCTGATGCCAGCCAAGGCAGGGTGTCATGGCAGCTTGGCTGCCCAGGAACAAGCAGAGGACTGGAGAGAGGTGAGGACGGCGGGATTGAAGTGGGATCAGGTGCTTGAACCTTTTCTTGTGCCTTGCTGTGGTGGGTGACAGGAGTGACACATGAACTGGCAAGCACCCTGGACATCCTGCCAACACTGGCTACCCTGGCTGGAGCAGCTCTTCCCAAAGTTGCCCTGGATGGCTATGACCTGAGTCCAGTGCTGTTTGGGTCAGGGAAGGTGAGTCCTGCGGGCTGGTTCAGCTGGCATTGTGCATGAAAGCTGGGTGTGGGGCTGAAGCTGTGTGCCTGATGAGTACAACCAGCTGGGGGTCAGGGGAGATCCATGAGCTGGGACCTTTTGTCTGGCCTGGGTCATGCCATGGAATTCCTCGGCTTCCCCAGGCTGCTCTGCTCTGACAACTGCAACGTATTGCTGGGCCAAACCCCCATGGGCGCAGTGGATGGACAGCCCCAGTAGCTTGGAGTAGGGAACAAACAGGATGCTGCTGCTCGTCAGCTTCCCCCCTCTCTGGCCATGTTCTTGCTGTAGTATCAGGGCTCCTGTGTGACTCCCTGGAGTCTCTGCCTGGTCATGTTCCAGACTTTTCTTCAGCCTCATGGCTGCACAGGTGAGCTTAGTTCTGCTACTTCCCGCAGAGTCCTCGGCAGACAATGTTCTTCTACCCGCCATCCCCTGATCCGCTGCACGGCCCCTTTGCTGTCAGGCTTGGGAAGTACAAGGCCCATTACTTCACACAAGGTTAGTGCTGCCTCCTCTTATCTACACAGTCGACTTTGTGAAGTCCCATATGGTTTTGCTGTCCAAACCTCAAAGAGAAGAAACTGGGCTATGCCTGGGGGTCTCTTTTGCAGGTTCCTTTCACAGCGATACGACCCCAGACCAGGCCTGCCACGGGCTGACCCCGCTGACCCCTCACTTGCCCCCGCTGCTCTTTGACTTGGAGTCAGACCCAGCTGAGAACTATGATCTGCTGCAGAGTGGCGCAGGGCCGGAGGTTCTGCAAGTCCTGAAGGAGATCAAACTGCGGAAAGTGCTTTTGGAGCAGCAAATGGGGTTTGGAGAAAGCCAGATCAGGAAGGGCAGGGATCCCGCCCTGCAGCCCTGCTGCGTACCAAACTGCACTCCTAAGCCTTCCTGCTGCTACTGCTCCTAGCTTCTTGCTGCTCCATCCCCTTCAGTTGTTCCACACTGGAACGCTATCCAGGACCCACCAAACACCCCCTCTGTCCCCAACTAACCAAGCTCAGCCTTAGAGCTACCCTGCAGCTTTGGCTCAGTGACACCTCTGTCTAATAGAGTGCTGGGGTAGCCAACTGTGGGTTGGGGAGATTACCAACCCTGCTAGGAGCGCAGGTCAGTGGATCCTATGCTCTGCTGTTC